AATAAACTACTCAAAAAAGGCAGAAGTAGCACTGTGGCTCAAGTGGTAGAGCACTTGCCTTGAGCAAAATAAGGTCAGGGACAGAACCCAGGCCCTGAGTTCAAGCCCCAGGACTGACAAAAAAAAAAGCCGACAAAAAAAAAAAGCCAGATGTGGTAGTATATGCCTGTCATCACTGCTAAGGAGGAAGTAGGATGACAGTGGTCTGAAGCCAGCCCCAGGCAAAAATGTGGGACCCTATCTGAAAAATAACCCATTCATTTTCTAGCTAATCAGCCAAATGTCCTATTTTTCTTTAATAGCTCTTTAACTAGAGTTTCTGTAATCCTAGCTACTCAGGAGACTGAGATCAGAAGATTGAGCTTTGAGTCCAGCCTGGGCATGAAAGTCTGTTAGACTTTTATTTCCAATTAACCACCAAAAAGAAGTGGAGCTGTGGTTCAAGTAGTAAAGCACCAGCCTTGCACAAAAAACAACGGGGGGGGCCCTAGTGGTAGAGTGCTTGCCTAGCATGCATGAAGACCTGGGTTTGATTCCTCAGTACCACACAAACAGAAAATGCCCAAAGTGGCACTGTGGCTCAAGTGGTAGAGTGCTGGCCTTGAGCAAAAAAAGCTCAGGGACAGTGCCTGGGCCCTGAGCTCAAGGATTGCCCCAGGATTGGCAAAATAAAAAAAAATAAAAATCAGGGACAGAGCCTGAGTTCAAGCCCTAATCTCACACACACACACACACACACACACACACACACACACATGCATGCACGCATGCACGCACGCACGCACGCACGCAAAGCCCTTTGAAAAGAAGCAGCCCTTTGGGTCAAGTAATAGTCTTTAGAAATTGATCTGAAGCCAAATGCAACTCAGGATTCTGAATTATTTACAGATAACTTGAACACTGCCACTCTGGCTCTGAATGAAACTTGCCCATACAGCATGAATTCTCATCTAAACCAGAATGGTAGAAGGTCCTTCCACAATCTTCACATCCCACTATCACTAGTAGTCCATTTTATTTAACAGCAAATCTAGTTTTGGAAGCTTTTAGTTTCAGAGTTTCACTTCTTGAGGTTTTAAATTGAATATTTTCTGCCCTCCATATGAAGCAAAATGTCCTTTCATCTATTAGCCCTCCAAGAGGACACAGGTATAACAAGACATTTTTTTTGTTTTAAAGTGATGTACAGAGGGTTACAGCTACATAAGTAAGGAAATGAGTACAATTCTTGTTGATCATTGTTATCCCCTCCCTGGTTTTCTCCCGCAAGACATTCTTATCTCTAATTAACCAGTAGAAAAACCAGAAGTGGAGCTCTGAATCAAAGTGATAGAGTACCATCCTTGAGCAAAAGAGCTCAGGGAAAACACCTACATAGAGTTCAAGCCCCATGACCAACAAACAAAAAAAAAGAAAGAAAGAAAAAAGAAAGGCAGATTTTCCTCCCAGCATTCCATTCAAATAACCCCCCAGCTTTAATATCTTTGAGAAATGAACATCACAAGTAAAGGGAAGGGCATTAACTATCATCTGTATTTTTCCAGGTTGATGTTTTTTCTTCCTTTAAAAAAAAGTACTCAAGAAGTATGTAAATGATGTTTACTGAGATAAGGTTTCTGGTACTTGTCAAAATATGAAATGAACACCTCATAGAGGGTAGTGGTTATTGATAGATGGCTTGAAAGGATGATATTTTTGGAAAGTCTATTTTTGTTCCACCATTATTTTCAATAATATTGAACTTTGTCTGAGGCTTATACACAGCTTGAATGTTCTAACCTTTAACAAAAAAAAATCCCATCAAGGGTGAGGTGGATGGAGAGCTGGTTGTTTGGTTTGTTTTAACACTGTGTCATTCTCTATTAGAAAAATGCAGATGAGTATTTTATTAGTTAAAAGTTCTCCCAGCTTTATAAAACAAACTGTATATGTGGATAACTTTCAGTTTGTGTGTGTGTGAGTGTGTGTGTGTGTGTGTGTGTGTGTGTGTGTGTGTGTGTGCTGGTACTGATAACTGTCCTAGGGCTTGAACTCAGGGACTGGACCCTATCCCTGAGCTTCTTTTGCTCAAGATTAGTACTCTATCACTTGAACCACTTCTGTATTTTGGAGATGATTAATGAGTCTCACAGACTTTTCCTGCCTGGGCTGGTTTCCAACAGAGAAGCTCAGCTCTCAGCCTTCTGAGTAGCTAGAATTGCATGCACAAGACACTGGCACCTGGCTTGCATCCTGTTTTTCTCTGCTGAGTTTCAAACATAAACAATTTCCGGTCATGATATCTGTATGACTAGTATATACTTCTATCACAATTCAAGTAGGTGAACTAGCCATCATATTTAAAGTTGGACATTTGAGATATTTCCAGTTTTTCTGTATTAAAATTGAACCTGTGCATATGATCTAGAGATAGGAGAATCTCGATTCAAGGCCAGCCAAGAAAAAAAAGTAAGGAGCCTTATCTTAGTAACAACCTAAGAGTGATGAAATACCTCTGTAATCAGCTTCTTGGGAAGTATAGATAGAAGAATTGAGACTCAAGGCCAGTTCTGGCAAGAGGCACCAGGAGTTTATCTGAAAAAAAAAAACAAACTAAAAAGCAAAAGGACTAGGGGACGACAGAGGTGTGTGGCTAAGAGGTACAATGTTTTATCACAAGGCCTGGAGTTCAATCATCAGTACTACCAAAAAATTGTGATTAGTATCTTATTAATGAAATCTGTCTACATTCAAAATGTTTTCTTGGGATGGATTTGTATAAGTGGGATAAATGAATAAAAATTATTTTATAGGTATAAATTTATTCAGATACCTACTCCCCCAGCAGTGTATTTTACCCTACCCATCCTTATTATCTTTTCCATAAGAAAGTGGTAGGTGACAGAGGATAGTAAACGTGTGTGTGTGTGTGTGTGTGTGTGAGAGAGAGAGAGAGAGAGAGAGAGAGAGAGAGAGAGAGTGCACGCCAATCATGGGGCTTGAACTCAGGGCCTGGGTGCTGTCCCTGGACATTTTCACTCAAGGCTAGCATTCTACCACTTGAAACACAGCTCCACTTCCTTCTTTCTTGGTGGATAATCAGAGATAAGTCTCACAGGCTTTCTTGCCCGGGCTGGCTTCAAACTGTGATCCTCAGATTTTAGCCTCCTGAGTAGCTAGGATTACAAGTGTGAGACACCAGCGCCCAGTGTTTAGTCACTGCTAGTATTACCTCTTGAATTACCTATTTATATTTTGTCCATTTTTACAAGAATTTTAATGATTTTAAATGAGCTCTTTTTTTTTTTTTTTTTTTTTTTGTCGGCCGTGGGGCTTGAACTCTGGGCCTGGTCGCTGTCCCTCAGCTCTTCACCTCAAGGCTAGTGCTCTACCACTTGAGCTACAGCGCCACTTCTGGTTTCCTGGTGGTTTATTGGAGATAGGAGTCTCACAGTGTCTCCTGCTGGGGCTGGCTTTGAACCGCGATCCTCAGATCTCAGCCTCCTGAGTAGCTAGGATTACAGGCATGAGCCACCAGCGCCCATCTTTTATCCTATTAGTTGCAAATAAACTAATTTTTTACAAGTTGGTTTTAAAACAGCAACCTCTCTGTACAGCATTTTTATAATAAAATAAAATTTAAAAACAAAAAGAAAAAGATATTCTCCAGAAAAAAAAGCATGTGCTAAATGGGGTAATAAAGTGTGAACTGAGTTTATACCAGATATAACTACTTCAGCCTATATTTTAAATTGAAATGTGCCAAAAATTATTTTTAAATGAAGATTTACTGATATAAAACAGTGAAAAAAATGTCTTGGCAGGGTGCTGTGGTGCACACCTGCACTTCTGGCTACTCAGGAGGCTGAGATCTGAAGATGTAGATTAGAAACCAGACTGGGCAGGAAAAGTCCATGAGACTTCTCCATTTAACCCCAAAAATCCAGAAGTGGAGCAGTGGCTTAAGTGGTAGAGCTATGGACTTGAGGGAAAAAAAGTTTAGTGACAGTGCCTAGGTCCTGAATTCAAGTCCAGGGACACGGACCCCCACCAAAAAAGTCTTATGTGTACATAGTTCTTTTTTGTTGGCAGTGGTGTTCAGAGGCTTGAGCTCAGGGCCTTGGTGCTGTCCCTGAGCTCAAGACCAGCTCTACCAGTTTGAGTCACAGCCACCTGTAATCTTAGCTACTCAGGAAGCTGAGATCTGAGGATCTCAGTTCAAGGCCAGCCTGGACAGGAAAGCTTGTGAGACTCATGTTCAATTAACCACCATAGTTCTTTTTTGAAGGGATAGTTGGATTCTGACATAGCAGAGTGCTCTAAGCTTGAACTTGTTCTATCATGTTTAAATTGAAGAGTTTGGGTGTTTTGTTTTTTACTTTCTAAGGATAATATTCATGCTTAGATTTGGTGTGGATTCCAAGCCATCATTGGCCTGGCACATACATACAAGCTGGGATGTAATGTCCAATCCAAAGTCACAAAGGAGAAGGAAAAAACACCAACACCAACAACAAAAGTGTTCAGAACAGTGACAGCCTAACAATGTGAAACTTTACTTGAGTATATGGCCATTAAATTATATACATCATAATACCTGGTAGTTGCTGCTCTTGTACATATAAATAGTATGATGGAAGCTTTCATGTTATCTAATTGATTTATGGCCTTATGTATTTAATGAACCAAAAAGATGAAAATGGAAGCTCCATTCCATAGTCCATCTTTATCTCCAGACACAACTTATGGTTGTATTTCAAGGCAGACTTAAAGGTACCTGTTTCTTAAGCCATACTTGAGGAAATCATCTAAACTTTGGATGAAACTCTAGCAGATTCAATATTGGCATCCATCCCCTGTCAAACCCTTCGCCCCTTCTTCAAACCAATCAAATGTGGAATTCTCAACCCTTTCAGTGTCCAGAAAATAAGCTGTGGAATCCTTGCCACGTTGGACTTCTCATTGCCATTTGGCTTGGGTGGAAAAGATGGGGAAGTAGAGATGTTGTTTGGCCTGAATCTCTAACAGAAGAGACGTAGAAGAGATAACAAAACCATGAGAAGACCAGCTGCCCACTGCAGGGCACTGTCTTCTGCCCTGGTGGGGGTGAAAAGTTGAATGTGCGACAGCAGAGGTACTGTGGGAGGAGTTCGTTGAAAATGGTGCAACTGTGTGGTTTGAATAAATCTGCGTGGGTCGGAGCAGTCACAGAAGAAGCAGTCCCAGTCCCAGCCTGGCCACCATCTCTCTACCCAAGTCTGTTCCTTTGGTGAGCCCTGTGTTCCGCTGGCTGTTTAAACAGGTGTGTGGAGAAGGGGGGACAAATGAGGTTAAGTTGAAGAGTTTAGAATTAAGATCTGTCAGGAGTTCAGTTTAGCTAATTCCAAATTTAGCTCTGGGGGGAAAAACAACCCTCTGTGGGCCTGATATAACCATTGTTTGACTTGTTACATTTTCAAGCGATTTTAAAATAGGGGTGGGTGGGTAGGGACAAAAACAATTTTGCCAGAATATTTTTGAATTCTGAGGTAATTTTCTCCCCAAGTATCTTGCACATTGGGAAGCAGATGAGCAAGTGAACAGAATTTTTGGTGGAAAAGTACTGCTCTGGGCTGCAGATGTGTGCCTGGATTGGGTTTAATTATTTTTCCTGTCCCTCTATCCTTCTTTCCGCTCTCCCCCCTCCCCCAACACAATAAAAAGCTGCCGCAACAAGTCTCTTAAGGGTAGAGGCAATCCTAGCTCTCTACAGGCCTGTTGCTGTGCAGAGGTTAGCATATCAGAGGCCAGATGAAATATCTAGGAAAAGTAGGAAGCAAGCCTAGAATCTGTCTAAAACTTCAGCCTTTCTCTGAGTTCCAGTTCAGGACTATTGTAATTGCCAAGAGTGGCAAAGCAGACTTCAAATAAAAGAGTGCTGCCAAACAAACAAATTTGGGACATTTTTCTGAGATTAAAAATAAACAACTGGGTGCTGGTGGCTCATGCCTGTAATCCTAGTGTCTTAGGGAGCTGCGATCTGACGATGGCAGTTCAAAGACAGCTTAGGCAGGAAAATCTGTGAGAGTCCTCTCTAATTAAACACCAAAAAGCTGGAAGTGGAGCTGTGATTTAAGTGGTAGAATGCTAGGTTTGAGCAAGAATGCTGTCCTTGAGCAAAAGGCTCAGTGACAGAGCCTAGGCCCTGAGTTTAAACCTAAGGACTGGCACCAAAATGGTTAATTAAATGAAATTTCTTGAAAAAAAAAAAAAGAAAGAAACTCAACAAGAGAATGTCACTTGTTGGAGACTTGGCTTAAGTAGAAGAATGCTGGCCTAGCTAGCACAAGGCCCTGAGTTTAAATTGCAGTTTCAAACTGGGTGCCATGGCTTGAGGGAAAAATAACGCCTTTTTTTTTTTGGTCGGTTGTGGGGCTTGAAGTCTGGGCCTGGGCACTGTCCCTCAGCTCTTCAGGTCAAGGCGAGTGCTCTACCACTTGAGCTACAGCGCCACTTCCTTGAGGGAAAAATAAGAGAGCTTGAGGCCCTGAGTTCAAGTCCCAATACCTGCATAAAAAAGAAAACGAAAAATGCAAAAGCGCTTTGGGTTGAAAAAAAAGAGAGAGAATGCATCACTTGCTGATACCTTATGACTAATCAAACCAAATCAGTTGCCAAAATGTGTGTGTGTGTGAGAGAGAGAGAGAGAGACAGAGACAGAGAGACAGAGAGACAGAGAGAGACAGAGAGTGTGTACAGGGGAGAGGGGGGGGACTGAAGTAAATGCCTGAACTCAGGGTGTCATGTTCCACCACTTGAGCCATACCTCCAGCTTTAGCTTTTTAGTGGTTAATTGGACATAAGAGCCTCATAGACTTTACTGCCCCGGTTGGCTTCAAACCTTGATCCTCAGATCTCAGCCTCTTAAATAGTAGGATTACAGGTGTGAGCCACTAGTGTTGTGCTTAAGGTTTAAGCTGTGTGTTTTTTTTAATCTACATTGGTTGATCTGAACCCCAGTTACTGAGAATTGACACACCTACAGCAGCAATGGTATTCCTACCTCCTTCCCAGCTATCTGCCACAAGGCAAGGCGTGTGGAGCAGATTTCATCACAGAACAAATTGGACTTCCCAAAGTGTCTTTAAGGTGGAAAACGGAGTTGAAGTAAATGAATTCTTTATATGTTAAGACACTTTCTAGTCATAAGCAATAACAACGGGCGGCAGCGAAGGGGAAATGAGGGTCTTTGATATGAGCGATGATAAATGTGAAGCAAGAAAAATGGAGTCCAGTTTTTTGGCGTTCATCAGGTGGGGCTCTGAATGCTAAGGCTCAGGTCGGTGTGGCTGCAGCGGCAGGAGTAGGGGGGGTGTGGGGGAGCAAGAATAAGTAGGTGTCTGGGTTAGATGACGTTGGGATAAGGTTGGCTTGGGGCTGAGGCAGTGGCCCCGCAGGTAGAAATGGGGAGGGGAGCGTTCAGCGCCGAAGCTAGGAAGGCTAGGGCGGGTAGGCAGCGCGGAACGGAGACTCTAAGGCAACGTGGGGGGTAAGAATGGGGCGGTCGGACCCAGCAGGAGGCCTAATCGAATAGGGCGGGGCGCTTAGGTGGCCGTTGGAAGGCGGGACGTGGAGCGTCTCGAGGAGGCTCCGCCCCTCCACGCCCCGCCTCCTCCCCTGGCTAGTCCCGCTCGGCGGCGGAGCTGGGAGCGCCACTCGTTCGCGGAGAGGGAGGAGAAAGCAGCGAGTTCCGGAGCCTTGCTTAGCCGGGCCCAACATTTCCTGAGATCATGGCTGCCGAGGATGTGGTGGCGACAGGCGCTGACCCGAGCGAGCTGGAGGGCGGCGGACTGTTGCACGAGATTTTCACATCGCCACTCAACCTGCTGCTGCTGGGCCTCTGCATCTTCCTGCTCTACAAGATTGTGCGCGGAGACCAGGCGGGGGCCGGCAGCGACGACGACGACGAGCCGCCCCCACTGCCCCGCCTCAAACGCCGCGACTTCACCCCGGCCGAGCTCCGACGCTTCGACGGTGTTCAGGAACCACGCATACTTATGGCCATCAACGGCAAGGTGTTCGACGTGACCAAAGGCCGCAAGTTCTACGGGCCGGGTATGGTGGCAGCGGGGAGGGGGAGGTATGGGGAGGGCTTGGAGGCCGGGGTGGTGGCGGATGGGGAAAAAGGGGGGGATCCAGGGCACCCCTGAAGGGAGCGTGGCGCGCAGGGGAGGGGGGGAAAGGTGGTAAATCTGGCGTTTGTGGCTGGGTGGTTCCTGGGGCAGGAGGGAGGACGGGGGAGGAGGACCGGGGGGAGGGGAGGGGGACGCAGATTTACCACCACCACCTGCACTGGCTTGGGGTTGCAGGAAGACGGGCTCTGAAGCTACGGGTGGGCGGGGCCACGAGGCTCGAATGCCCGAGTGCCAAGCCTTGGGGGAGTTTTTCGAAGGTAGTATGTTGGGAGGGGGGCTGGCAAGAGGAGGTGGTATCGGGTTCGGGAAAGGAAAGGAAGGTGTCTCCGGGGAGGGGTGGGAGGGCGGCTGGAGGAAGGAGAAGCCAATCACTGCCTGCAGCAGCCATGGTGGAATGAGCGGGTGTGGGAGAAAGAAAGCAGAGACTAGGATTAGCATCAGGTAGAAGAAGCATTGTGCGTGGTAGAGTGCTGTGTGTCTGCGTGTATGTGTGTGCATGCGCAGTGTGTGCATGTTCAGTGTATGTGGGTGTGTGAACGTCTGCGAGCTTGGAATGTGGTGTGTGTCGGGGATGTGTTTGACATGTATGTTTGGTATGTGTGTGTGCCCGTGCTATGAAAGGCTGTGAGCAAGAGCGGCCCATAGGGGAAAGCTTACTGCCTGATGATGGATTAGGGTTGAATATGGTGGACAATGGGAACGAAGCAAGTTGATAGGCAAAACAAAACCGTATTTAGTTTATAGCAGGAGCGAAAGGACTAGAAACCCTCCCACCCCCCACCCCCGCCCGCAAGAAAATATGGAGGAAGGGAGAATCACAGGAAACAAAAAGGGATGGGCTACTGCATGTGGAATTTCAGGAAGCCACACAGGGGGGGGGGGGCATGGAATTCGTGGATGGCTGCTAAGCTACTAGAAGAGAATCCTTAGAGATGAGGTTTTTCCAATTCTGATGGCCTATCACCATTACCTAATGCACTTAAAAATACAGATTCCTGGCCTAACCAGCTGAATCACAGATAATTTTGAGGGTAGGGTTAAAATTTGCATTTTAATATGTTTCCATAGGTGAATTTGAGAAGCAGCCAGATTTGGAAAGTCCTGCTTTGTACAGTGCTTGGGAGTGAAGGAAGAAAAAATTTCAGCAATGCCAATCTGGACTCTTCCAAACACTGGAAGCTGGGGGGGGTGGTATTCACACTCAATGTTTGAGAGAGAAAAGACCAGGCTTAAACCACACCAGTCATATTCATGCTTCTCTTCAACTCTCTGGAGTCCACTAAATAAAAAACAGATGTGTGAAGGTTCTTAAGGAATTCTCACACTTAAGTTTTTCCTTTTGGACATTTTATAATGTTTTCTGTAGTCATGGAACTCCCAAGTAGCCAAAATGTGTGTACATGGCATTGTCATATGGTTGTGGTTTGCAGACTCATCTAGAGGACTGTCGGTGCACAAAGCATAAAACTGGAAATTAGGCAACCTTCATTCTATTCTGGGGGTTGCTGACCAAGCTGTGTGACCTGCTGCAGATCATTGTTCTCTCTGGGCCTTCGTTTTCCCTTTAGAAAATAATGTCTTGCTCATTGTGAGCTCTTTTAAGACTGTACCTGTACCCTTGACTGCCATTGAGTGGGCCTGTGAACACATGACATTGTAATGGAAAGGATATTCCATATTACAAAGAATTCCTAAAATGTTTTCATTTGGACTTATGAACATGTGACATTGTGATGGAAAAAAATATTTCCTATGACAAAGAAGTCCTAATTTTTTGTCATTCAAGTGCCTATTTTACTCCACAAGACACTGTTTTAGGTACTGGAAATGTTGCAGCAAGCAAACACACACAAAACTGGTCACGGAATGTGGATGTTGTGATAAACAATATATGTCTTCCAAAGACTGCTAATGCTTACCCCGCAGAGCCTGTTAGGATTTTTGTGAGGTTTGCTAGGTATAGATCCACTTAAAGAAATCCAGGATTAGAAACCACTGCATTCCACCTATTTTAAAGCAGTTGGTGCTTCTGTGTCCACTAGAAGTGGACATTTGTGAAACATGAGGTATTTTCTTAACCCTCTGTAATGGAAAAGGCAACATGGAATGATAATTTAAAACAAACATTGGAGGAGGGATCTTAAATTCATTTAATAACTCAATTGTATAGGCTGACCAGTATAGCACTCTGGTACAACACTTGGCTAGCATGCAGGAGGATCTAGGTTTCATCCCTAACATTGCAAAAAAAAATCATGTAATTTGTTTTTTTTAAAAGTGATTTGAGGTTGAGGTGGTACAATAGTTAACTACAAACTTTTTCGTGTCAGGGTTGTTACCTAAACTACTTGAGGGAAAACAAGACATTGTTTAAAGTACACTAGATTCTTTTCATTTACTTGTGCAATATTTAAATAAGTCTGAACATCCACTCTAAGTGCCTACAGAATGATTCAGTGCTCTCTAAGGTGAAAGTTTGGTATACTGTCATCCATAATAGCAACTTCAGTTTTGTAGATTATTTGGGAGCATGATTCAGCCTTTTCTGTAAAAACTTTGGTATTTTCACAATCATCTGCTTAATCCCACTGAAACCAGAATGATGAAACTGATCTCTTTTTTGTACTAGCTCTTACTTATTGACAGTGAAAGTTATGTAATATGTGGACAGATATTTGAACCACTGATACGTAGGATTTCTAAGATAGATACCACAAGTTAATGTTTAATTGAATCTTGCAACCAGAAATCCCTATAAGATACCTTTGACTCATTAAAACATATCAGAGTACATTTATAAGGAAATGTTTTCACGTACAGGTTATCTTGAGAAACCTTAACCTTGGGCTGGGAGCATGGCTCAAGTGGGAGAATGCCAGCCTAGCAAGTAAACAGCCTCGAATTCAAACCCCAGTGAGGGAGAGGGAGCAATAACTTTCACTGGCTTGGTCCTGGAGTGCCTAGAACTGAGCCAACCTCTGGGTTCAAAGTCCAACCTCTGGGTTCAAAGTCCTTATGTTGAATTCTAACCCCCAACCCATACACTGTATCATCTTAGATCATTCCTTAGCACCTCTAGCACCTCAGAAATAATTAGGAAGTGGAGCTGTGGCTCCAAGTGGTAAAGCACCACCCTTGAGGGAAAAAAATCTAAGGGACAGTGCCCAGGCCCTGAGTTCAAGCCCCAGTATCAGCACAAAAAAATTATTTACAACTTCTATATTAGTTATTGGAAATTCACGAGAGATTGAAAATGTGCAGCATTTTTATTTACTTTATCTCTTTTAATGACGTGTCTTTCAGTGTCTCCTATATAAATGATCAAAGTGTCACTTGTCACATGTTGAGAATGGAATTTGATACTGAAAAGAAAGGACTTTGTTAGGCTGATGGCAAGCAAGCTATTTCTACATATGAACCATGGATAAATGTATTATCTAATCAAGTATCTGTCTTGGTTTCATTTTGTTTTTAAAGAGGGGCCGTATGGGGTCTTTGCCGGACGGGATGCCTCCAGGGGCCTTGCCACTTTTTGCCTGGATAAGGAAGCACTGAAGGATGAGTATGATGACCTTTCTGACCTCACTCCTGCCCAGCAGGAGACCCTGAGTGATTGGGACTCTCAGTTCACTTGTAAGCTGGTTTTGCTGTTGCTTGGGGGTTTTTTTGTTGTTGTTTTGTAAATTGTGTTTAGATCAAATTTCTGCCAGTCATGAGGGTTCACCATAGGACAATAGGTATTGCTAAGAAGCCTGAAGCTCAGGTACACTTCGATAGGCTCCCAAATCTTTGACAGATCAAGTTCGCAGCCTAAAGAAATTATAGCAGTGCTGAGTCACTTACTGTGATCGCAGACTGATGTTTAACTTGTTCTCTATAGAAACTTGTGTTTCCGGTTTTGCTTTCTTAAATTTTTTTGCAGAGGTTTGTGCAGATTCCACACTAGCATTTGGGTGTGTAGGGGAAAGGACAGTGGCCCTCCTGGCTGCAGGAAAAGGGGTTTTTCTTCAGCCGCCTCTTCTAGGCCTCTTGTAGAGCTTGCCATTGAAAAGCAACCCACATCCCTCCTGAAGAATGGGAAATTGTATTCTTTACAGCAGCTTCTCTTTCAATCTAATTGAACCTAACTGTGGGCCTCATGGACAAATGATGTTTAGAATCTGCCCAGCAACAATGATGTCTACATTTTTTGAAAGCAAAAAAAAGGAAACATGTATTTCTGGCTTCTGTTGTGGGCTGAGGTCTTTGGAGGGGCAAAAAGGGAAGAGAATAGGGGTCAAATTCAAATCTTGTGATTTGGGAATTGACTTCTAGGCAGGCATTCTTGAGCCACACCTCCAGTCCTGCTTTTTTGCTGGCTTTTAGGATGGACATGGAGTCTGGTGAGCTTTTCCGTTCAGGCTGGCCTTGACCCATGATCCTCTAGAATCTCCAGCCACTGGCATCCAGTGAATTGGCTTTTTGTCTTTCCTTAGTCCAAGGGATTAATTAGTCCTACGGGTTAATTTAGCAATAACTGACTGCTACGGATTTGAGTGAAAAGTATGTAAAAACAATGGTCATTTCGTTTTTTTTGGGGGGGGG